TGGAACCATCTGACCCACAGTCTAAACTCCTAGTATCCCCTTAATATCCCCTATAGTAGTCCCCTATATAATCCCCCTATATACCCCCCTTCAAGGAGTTTAGACTATGGCTCATATAACCCTTACATAACCCTATATATAGCAGTTTCCATTTTATTTTCCATTTTCTTTTCCATTTGATTCTCCATTATTGGGGTGTGTATATATATATAATAACCCCTATAGTAGTCCCCTATATAATCCCTAAACCCTAAACCCGCTCATGTAGGGTAAAGACGCTGTGAGCGCCAGGCTCAGCCACCTGGAGCATGGCTTGGGGACCTCTGCTGTGGCTATGAGGCCAGCTGAAGAGTTCAGGGATGGTTATAGGGTTTAGGGTTTAGGGTTTATGGTAATGTATATATTGTTGTATATGATTGTATATTATGGGATATCATAGGATGTTTACAGTATATTGTATAGTCATTATAGTATATCATTAGCAGGTTGCAGGCTTTCGCCTCTCAGCGTTCATTTTTGCTGTGGCTCTGCCTTAGGCCATCGCTGCCTTGCTGGAGAATACCATGCACAAGAGCCAACCGAGCTTAGGCAGCAGATTGGTATGCCAAGTGCAGCTTGAGCGACTGGATTTCATAGTCGCCAAGCATGGAATCCCCCCAAACAGTCGCCAAACAAGGCGATTGGTCCAGCAAGACGTTAGCACTAAGGATGGAGGAGCATCTGAAGAGCGTCACAGCGACGGACCTCTTCAAAGACCACTGCCGGGAATCAGTTTTTCCTTGCAGCGTGGGCTTGGAGAAAATGACCCCCGTCCTGGCAATCGGTACTCACGAAGTGAGGAAGCCCAGGACGAAGCTTGAGCTCTAGCTGCAAAGGTCTGAACAGTCCGCTTTTAAAAGCAAAGTGTGTAGAACTTGCATGGTGTTACCCTATAATAGGGAGAGTAATGAGAATATCAGTAATAGCAGGAATAGTAAGATTGAAAGAGAGAGGGCTCATGGCAGAATGGTCTGCATCTCGAGATGCCAACATTTAAGCTTCACCCTTTGCAGCACAGACTTGAGGCCATGATCCGCGGCCAAGTCCATCGCTATCAAAACATGGGTGCTTCTCCAAATTAGGAGTGCCATTTCGGTGGTGCCCAGAATAAAGATCATAGCATATTTGGGTTTTGTTGGGCTCCCCGGATTTGGGGAAAATACCGAAGAACATCAGTACTCAGGATTGGGATGGCCTTGTCAGCCTTGGCTGTACTAGTTCCAGGCCAGTTTTGAAAAAACGCCTGGTTCTTGTCCTGCACGAGACCGACGGATGAATACACCCTGGGATGAAAGCCAGTAATCAGCGAAGCATGGACGAAGCTCTGCTCGTAAAGCTCTGCTCGTTGCAAAACGGCTAGGCTACTGGTGTCCTTCCTCAGCTGCTGTCGTCCCAGAGCCTCGACGAACACCGTCTGGAATTTGTATGTCTAATCGATATGTGAATCGCGATGTCTCTATTGTTCCTGTTGACATCTGGGTAGGCAGGCATAGGAGTCTTGAGCTTCTTTACGCGGTTCACGCACTGCGCCCGAAAGGGCATGGAAACTTCGTGCAATGATCACGAAAGGTGGTGCGGCAACGGTTCAGGCCGAGCAGCCTGGTGTCTAGGCTCCGAGCCGCAATGTATTCAGAATATTGGCCAGAATCATGGCCATGGCTCCAGGGTTATATTGGGATAATGGAAAAGAAAATGGAAACTACTATAATGGAGAATCAAATGGAAAAGAAAATGGAAAATAAAATGGAAACCGGGATTATTATAAGACATTGCAACTTACGTTGCACTTTTTTGCAAGGGATTGCGGCAGCTCATTGGGACAAGCGTTTGCAGTGAAGAGGAATGATTGTTCACCTGCGGCTACGTACACACGTGCAGTCACGTTTGGCATGCTCGCTACAAGTATTGAACATGATTGATGCTTTTGGCTCAACACTGCCAGACCTGGAGCCGTACGGACAGAACCTCAGACTCCGGCAACATGAACAAGAAGTGTGCAAGTGTGGCTTTTGCTTACCCTCCCGGAAACTAACATGGAAACCCAAAAAGGGCCCTATAAAGACTACAGTCCCTTTGAACAGGGGCTATACGGGTTTCCATGTTAGTTTGGGGGAGTGTATCTCATGCCATCAAGGATCTCCGCTGCCTGCTCTTGTGCAGAAGCATGCGCCAGCGACTCGGGTCACCTCGCGCGCGGCCAAAGCTTTGCTGTGGGCTCCGGACTTCCGGGCCTCCGGGCCTAAGGTGAATCCAAAAGCCGCAGGCCTACGGGCTGGTTACCAGGCAGGAGCTTCGTTAGACTGCAAAGACCATCATCCTCCACTGTAAGAAGTCCATGCTTAAAACAGCAGCGGAAGATAGCTCAATCAGAGCTATCTTGTTCAAGTGAAGGCGTTTGCAATTCCAGCCTGACACATGGTCTGTCATGGCTCATGGCAATCCCTGTCTCAGCCTCTCTCATCTGCGTGGCCTTGGTGGCTGCTTGCTGGCGAGCGGCTTACTTGTTGGTTGTGAGTGAAAGCGCACTTTAGGAGGCCAACGATGTCTCTCCTCACTTCCTATCTGTAGACTAGGAACGGCCCTACCATCAAAATCCATCAAGTACGTCACAGTTTTGTCGTGAGGCATGCTGCTGGTGAACGGTCATTTGTCACTGCACCCCAGCTCCAGACGGGTGCGGCGCTCTGACACTGCAGCGACGTCGTTGTGATCTTGGCACTCCGCTAGAACTCAAAACAACGGTGTCTACGAGTCTACGACTGTCCGGACGATTGTCTTATGTCATGCTAAGCTAAAAGGCTTGGCTTCAGCAGGCATTGCTTGCTTCCCCCTTCTCCTGGATTTCTCGCAGCGTGCAAGAAGTTTCCACCATCCCTCGGCAGTGTATCGTCGAGGACAGGCTGTCTAAGGTTTATGTATCTGACCTGCCTGGATTGATCAGCATGGTTCCAAGGTTCACCTCTTTCATCGCCCGCGTTCGGGCCTACCCGAGCTGGCTCCTCAAGTGGCCTGGGGTGTTGTCATGTGAGAGCTATGGTGCTTGTACTGAGACTTCTTTGTAGTGATCGCCAGAACCATGGTGACCAGAGGGATGAGACACGATTACGGATAATTTTCTGGCAAATGCGGCAGCAGCAGAAGCAGCAGAGGGGAGTGCTCGCAAGATGGTAGGAGGATGTAGTCCTATCAGAACCATTATTACTCGTAGAATTCTCATCATGGATAGGTTGCAAGCTTGAAGTGGTGTGGTTGCAGCTTGGGAGGGCAGAAAGGCCAGCGGGACATCGTGCGATTCTGAGGCTGAGGGCATCAAGGCTGCGCGCTCATCTCCGATGCTGGCGGCCCGAGTACCGCAAGCAAACCACGTTGTAAGATGCAGGACTTGTGACGCTGAGGAGCTACTTGGCAGTATGTGCTGCAGCTTTGGGGGTTTGTGCCTAAGTTTGTCTCATGAGCAGGCCAAGTTTCTAAACCCATTATAGTAGTTTCCATTTTCTTTTCCATTATCCCCAATATAATCCCTATAGAACCCCAATATATACCCTATATAACCCTATATAAACCCATTATAGTAGTTTCCATTGTTGTAAGCCCTAGGCAGCAGTCCTGGTCCGGCCCAGTCCGCAGAAATCGCGGCTGCGCGTTGTGGTCCAGGCCAGGAGAACCAAGATGATGTAGTAACCTAAACTCCTTAAAGGGGGGTTATATAGGGGATTATTTAGGGGCCTACTATAGGGCTTATTAAGGGGATACTAGGAGTTTAGACAATGGCTCAGATGATGTAATAACCAATCACAATCCTGCCCTTGGCAAGGCCTATGAACCCTGTGCTATGCCGAGTGTGCAGGCCAGGCTCAGACAAGCGTGGCTTTTGGCTAGGAAGGCTTCTCTGCAGGTTACAAAACCTCTTTCGTTTGAGTTAACTACCATCATATCCCATCCTTTTGGGCTCGAGTAAATTTGGCCAGCTTTGTAAGTTGAGCCATTTTGAACAAGATGTTTTGAGCCCTGAATCATGGCGCCAGGACAAGCAAGCGACTCCATACTCGATGGGTTCTATGGATCTGCTGGGCTGGGCGCTTTTCTGGCCTTTGGTTACCTGGGATGAAGGAATGGATCCATATAGTAGTCCATATATAACCCATTATAGTAGTTTCCATTTTCTTTTCTATTCCTCCATTCCCAGCTAACCAAAGGCCAGATTACAGAGTGAGCACGATTTTGCAATGCAACAGCCACACGCTTTCTTTGTCGTTGGAGCTGCGGCCCAATATTACCCTAATATAAGCCCAATATAACCCCAATATAACCTCAAAATTACCCCAATATAACCCCAACATAAGGATTCATCAAGGATGTTGTGTCCATTGCTGTATTTGCTAGAGGCCATTGAAGCTCCTTGTGCTTGAGTTGCGGCCAACATTGAACAACAAACCCATACAAGTGATTGTAGACCCGCATCAACTTACATTTCCTCAGGTAGGCGTAATTGTAGACACCTAGTTTTCTGCAATGTACGATATACCTTGAGCAATCTAAACCTGCCGCACTCCAGAGATTCTGAAAGGGCAGAGGTCCGACACGTGAAAGAAGTCCAACTTTCCACGCCGATGGCTTCAGACACGGCAGCAAGTCACACGGTGGACGTGTTGTGCTCCTTGGCAATGAGCAAAGAGTGTCACATGCTGTGTTTTGTCGAACATTTGTGACCCGTTTTGTGCCACACCTTCCTTCAATTCCATGCGCCTCATGCCTGGAGGTGGCGTCTGCGTTGAATTGCTGCGGCAAGGCCGACCGCAGGTTTTGTTGCCCATGGCAGACAACCTTCCCTTGCGGACAGTTCCATTTCTCTCGCATTGGCAGGACTGCCGGTTCATGAGCAGCTTGCTCTGCGCACGACCTGCGCAGCTACCAGAGCATGTGCCCTGTCTAAGAGATGCTTGTACCAGCAACTTTTGCCCGGGCTGATTGTAGCCGCCTTGTAGCAGCTAGCGGCTCGCAGGCAAGCACTTAGGCATCAAGCAAAAAGCTTCGAGCCGATTTCCCCGCTCGAACATGGATTAAGAGTTCCACCGAGCGATCAGACACGGAGGTCATTTTTCAACGCCATCGCACCTCACATGAGCAGAGCCAAGGTCTTTGCACCTCGGTCTTTTGGGACGAGGTCCTTGCCTCCCGGGCCACTCGTGGCGCCAAGCGCGGAGTTTTGGCCCACTGGGTGGACTACAAAAGGCTCGGTGCTGGAAATTTCTGCTGTTCACAGACGAGTCACGGAACGAAGCGATGTGAGCTATAGTCTAAACTCCTTAAAGGGGGGTTATATAGGGGATTATATACGGGACTACTATGGGGGTTACTAAGGGGGATACTAGGAGTTTAGACAGTGGCTCATGTGGCGTTGCAGGTGGTTCCATCGGGCCGTGACCGAGAGCCGCTCGCTGCGGCTCCGGCGGCTTTTCGCAGCACTCCGTGGCCCGGTGTTGCCGCGGCAGGCATGAAATTTCAGCAAGTCCAACTCACAAAAGGGAGCTGAAGAGTAGATTGAGTTTAGCGTGACACCTTCCCAGAGATGTCAGTGACATGTCAAGCAATTTGGTGAGCTTGAATGGTAAGGAGGCCTCAAAGTTTACCATCTATAGCATCTTGCGAATTGTGTTGTCATGTCCCTCGCTCGATGACTGCAGCTTCTGGACCTCGTGCGTGTGCGCCAGCGCCGAGCTGCCCAGCGGTGTTTAAAGGAGTCTGCGCATGGTCAGCTGCAATTTGCACTGGCTCATGTTTGCAACGAACTTTCAATGTAGCTTGACCACAACCTGTGAGTGTGCCATGCCCACACAAATTCAAGCAAAGCAACCTGAAAGAGCCACGGCCAGAAGCAGTAGGCGCAGCATAATCAGGCCTGCGGCTAACAACACTGCCTCTTTGGGCATCTAGCTGATTAGACTACTTGAATGAGATGGACATGACAATGCAAAATGGAGAAAGCTCTGTCTTGGTAGTAAAATCATGACCCCATGCATTTTGAAAGGAGTTGCGAGCGCAACGGGCAATTCGTCAAGATGCTGTCCGGAGGGTGCGAGGGGGCATCCACTACGCTCATGAGATTGGCATTTCAAGCGTGTCTTCCTGCATAAGGGCCCATACAGTAGAGCTACAGGCTGCATGAACCTTCTAAGTAGGTTACGCAGGTGAGAAGCGTTTACGCATCCCACCGGGCCCCGGCAAGATTAGAGTTTTCCGGGCCTTTGCTGGTGAGGCCTTGTGCGCTCCATCAGCACTTGAGCTGCAGCGGCAGTGACGCTCGGCTTGGACGCAACTTTTCGTGAACCTGTCCAACCCGAAAAGTGGTGAGCCACGCCATCCCATGCACATCTCCGGACCTGAGTGCATATCCTAACTCTCTCTGCCTGCCCTGCCAGAGAGCTCAAAGCCATCAAACACTGGCCTGTCGCGGTGACCATGGTAGAATTGCGGAGGGCTTCGGTTGCTTTGATGAACCTTTCTGCTTGAGGTCTTCAGGCCATGGCTCTGGCACCACTGCTTCGCCGCGCCTTCCACCATCTTCGAAGCTGGAAGGACCGGAGCTTAAAAGCATGAGAGCTCTCCAGTGAAAAGGAAGCAAACTGGATCGAGATGTCTTTTCCGATGTAGAGACCTTTCTGAAACAAGGCTCCTCTCAACAAACAGGCTCAAAATGAAGCTGCCAACAACATTGCGCATGCTTGCACCATGAAAGCTGTTCTCCCGCTTGAAGGACGCGAGCGATGCCCGCTGAGCCCGTCGTCTTGCGGCGTGCCAGATTTGAGTCAAACATATCATCATGTGTTCGTTTCTGAGTTGCGTTGTGTGTTCACACGTCTCGCAAACTCAAAGGACTCTGACACGAGAAGAATCGGGACGAGCTGACAAGCGCGGCATTTCCCACGTCCGCCTATTGACTTGTTCTGTCTGATAGCCAGGAGGCAGCGTTCAACCCAGGTCAGAGGGTGTGCTGCGTAGGTGACACTTGCACTTTCGCATCCTCTGAACGTTCAGTGCCCCAGATTTTCCAATCGCACGGCAAAGTGGCGAAGTAGCGGCTACCAAGGTGTTCGTTTGAACTGTTGAACTATTGCAACTTGTACTCTTGATAGATCTTGATTGCATTCCAGAAGCTTAGTCTCTGCCATCTCAAGCTGAAAGTTTGAAGATGGTGAACGGTGCTTCCAGTGCGCTTCCTTTTGCATCTGAAGGCTCAGTAGAGCGGCTTGCAGGATGCTTATCTTGGAATGCACTTGAACGCTATACATCCTGACTGGTAGCCCTTCCCTGCTCTTCTGTGCGGCTTCTGCAGGAGCACTAGCCACACGCGCCATTGATCAGCGTGTTGACATGCAAAATCTCTGCATGGGCTGATTGATTCGTTGTGCACGACCGACTAGATCATCTTCTGAGCTTGCTGCGCGTGTGGTCCGGTGAATGTGCTGTTTCTGCAAGGCTTGGAAGCTTCGTCTGACACAGTCATGGCAACCACAGAGGCCGAAGCTGAGAATTCCGCCTTGCATTTGTCTCAACTGTGTTCGCATCAAGTTTTAGACTATTCCAAGCATTCCTGTATCCGAAGTATTCGTCATGCAATCTCGTATGCTATCAGGTGCCACAAGTCATGCTGCCTACCGAGATGGGAGCTTTGGCCAAAGGCTGGCTAGCCAAATGTTCCCCACCCCCTAAAATGCAATACCAGAGCTTAGGGTTTATGGTTGAGGGATGTTTAGTTAGGGTTCAGGGTGCAGATCAATGTGCCAGATAACAAGAGGCCGATCACATGAAGCCCTTGCGCACAGGAGCTATGGCCCCCGTCATTGCCCACGCTCAGGCTTCAGAAGCCCTGTGTGTTTCAGCGATGAACTTGTTTACATGGTAGTTTCCAGTAGTAGGGAGACCCCAATACAGACATCAAGATATATGATCCTTATTATGGGGACCCCCAAAAGGGTACCCCTAACTTTGGGAAATCCTGATCCCTAAACCCGAAATCCTATATATCCCAATAAAACCCCTATAGACCGCCTAGAAAACGTATCCGTCACCAGGGTCTATCCAAAGCATGGCTTTCACCCCGCATGAGCTATAGTCTATTATGGTCTGAACTCCTATATGGGGGATTTTACAGGGGAGTCCTATAATAGGGGGTTTTAAGGGGGATATGATATAATCCCCTATATAATCCCAGCTTCCATTTCATCTTCCATTTTCTTTTCCATTTGATTCTCCATTATTGAGGGATAATATCCCTAAACCCTATAGACTACAGCACAAATTGCCGTGACAGGAGAAGCCTTACGCTGGTCGCCAGCACCAGGGCCAACGAGCTTCTCGGCTGCAGAAGATGCAATGGATCTCAATGACAAAGCCAGAAGTAATAGTAATAGTAATACTGATAGCAATAGTAATATTAGAATAATAGGAATAGTGATAGTAATAGTAATAGTAATATTTGAATAATAGGAATAGTAATAGTAATAGTAGTAATAACAGTAATAGTTATAGTAATATTAGAATAATAGGAATAGTAATAGTGAAATAATAGTAATAGTTATATTAATATTTCAATAATAGGAATAGTACTAGTAATAGTAATAGTAATAGTTATACTACTATTTCAATCATAGGAATAGTAATAGTAATAATAATAGTCATATTAGAATACTAGGAATACTAATAGTAATAACAATAGTAGTAATAGTAATAATCATATTTCAATAATAGGAATACTAATAGTAATAGTAACAGTAATAGTAGAATAATAGGAATAGTAATAGTAATAATACTAGTAATAACAATAGTAATCGTGATAGTAATGTTAGAATAATAGTAGTAGTAATAATACCAGTAGAATAATAGGAATAGTAATAGTAATAATAAAAGTACTAGTGATAGTAATAATACTAGCAATAATAATAGTAATAGTAATAGTAATAATAATAGGAATAGTAATAGTAATAATAATAGTAATATTAGAATAGTAGGAATAGTAATAATAAGAATAGTAATAATATTAATAGTAATAGTAATAGTAATAATACTAGTAATAGTAATAGCAATATTAGAATGATAGGAATAGAAATAGTAATATTAGAATAATAGGAATAGTGATAGTAATGCTGTGCCTGCCCCTGACAGGCAAAAGATCGAAACAACCGCCGACGCGTGCAATCCTTGACCTGAACAGCAGAGCTGTAGCTGGTAGAAAGAGTAGTTCCCGTAATCGGTTTGTGCCCATCATAAGGTCCAGATTGCAGCGTAGTAGGTTTGTGTCAACATGTGAGCCAATGATTGTGCTGCTGAAAGGATTTTGGACTGCACTGTCACTGTGGCTACAGCCTTGAGGTGGGTGCCCGGCTTCTCCCTACCCTCAGCGCTATGCCGTCAGCCCTGTCCTTCGATCCGAGCCGAGTCGGATACCTATGGAATTGCTCCTGCATGGATTCGGAATCCAACACGCTGTCCCTGCTCGCATGGCTGGCCCAGGTGCGCTTAAAGCTCCAGCGGGCAGTTCAGCACCGCTTTGCGACCTCTGCGACCGGCCGGGAGGGGAAGGCGAGAAATCGAGATCCTGGCTCTGGTTCAGGGATCATTAGGCCGCAAGCTGTCTTCAATCGGCTGGCCTGATCAGGCACGTTCGCGATCCGAAGGCCGGGACTTTTGCAACGTTGCAGTAAGACTGACAAATCCAGCAGGTCCGTCCATACATGTGCGACTAATACCTCTTGCAGTTGGCTTGTGGCTGTTGCCTGCAGAGGACGCTGCAACGAAGGCGGCTTGCAAACGTTCACTATCAATAGCATGATTCCCAGAAGACTGGGTTGCTGTTAAGGAACTTAAATTTAGTTACTATATTGGGGAAACCCTATTATTTACTATATATGCCCATTATGGTAACTTCATATAAGGTCCTTAACAGCAACCCAGAAGAAACTGCCCTTGATCTGCTTCCAGACTTGGCAAGGTTGATTACATCAGCTTGGCAAGTGCGGTTTGCCGCATTTCCCCTATTCCAAGGCATGGCAAGATCATACCTACATCAACAAAAAAAAACGCCCGGACACTCGGTCTTTGGATGTATTGGGATTATATTGGGGTTATATAGGGTGCATATATCCATATATATATAGATAGATAGATATACATATTTATATGTATGTATAGGGATATTAAGGGATTATATTGGGATTATATGCGCTAGGCTTCTGGTTCTGAAGGGTTTGGAAGGAAGATGACAGATATGCGCGACCTCGCGAGGGCAGACCAATAGCTTCTTGAGCCAGAGCCAGAGGTTCTGCCTCATTACACGGCACCACTTTTTGTTTTCTCGAGCCATGGTCATCATTTTCTAATTAGGCCAAGAAACAGGAAAAATCCTTTGTTTGCAGAAGGAAAGATGAGACGCCCCTTGCCCGTTAGCTTTTTCACTCGCAGATAGCCAAAAACTCCGCTCCTGGCATGCCTGCCCCCCCACCCTGTATTCTCTGATCACAGCCAGAGAATGCTATGAGGCTAAAGACATGGAATTGAACTTGCTGGTGCAGCTTCCACGTGTTTGGGCCATTATGTCCACCTTCTTACACCAAGAAGCAGTTTAACGGCCTGACGCATTCGTGTGGCAAAGCCAGGCTCATTCCAGTCCCCAGGATGTTTTCAGAGGATGCCGGGGCCTCATAAAAAGGTTTAGAACAGATTTCCCAGAAGTCCAGAAGCCATGCCCACGCTTGTCGAGTCCACGCCGCTGCCTTGCTTGGCAGCTGAAGCGGCCGCTGCCTGGATCGACTGCGGGAGGCCAACAGCTTTGCACCGCCGGATGGGACCGATGCAATCCCGTGCGTTTTTTGCGCAGGTCCTGGCTTTGGGCCCAGATGCTTCAGCTGCTGGCCCTTCAGAATTAGCAGGTCGACGTCCGCGAGTCTGTCAGCCCTTGCTTGAGCAGTGCGGACGAATCGCAGACACTGCGCATGTCACAGAAGCCCGTTGTAGTGTTTTTGCTTCAGAAAGCGGCTGCGGCAGCGTGATACGTTGTCTCTGAGTTGATGAGCGTGTTCCTAACAGTGAATGGAAGGTGTTTTCCCGTTTGCAGGCAGATGTGTGTTGTTGGCCCTAGATTCTCTAGAGGCATGCAAGCCCTTGCCAATTGCATCCGGAAGCAGGGCTGGCGTTCGCCTGCAAACTCCTGGCGTATCGTTGCTGAGGCCATCTTCTGTCGCATGCATACATTGACAATGGCTCCGTGGCAGGTAGATGTAGGGAGCTGTCTAAGCGGGACTGCAGTCTTGTTTGACGACATCTCTGTCTTTTTTTGCAGGTACATGCAGTCGCTGCCTCAATGACAGCGGCAATCGTTTCCAGTGGCTGCAGCAGGCCCGTTTCAATGCCTGCTTTGCAGCAGCCACCCCCTTTGTGGCACCGGCAGCTTCATCGCACAGATCGATATTTCAGAGCTGCCATGACCAGAGCGGATCGCGAGCACTAAGGCTTGATACAACTGATATAATCTTGCTTGGCACCGTCCCTTCCATTTGGAAGGGGGCGGAGTTAAGGAACCTGCTGGTGTCATGAAGAGGGATTTTTCCGGCCACGTTTCCGCGGCTGACTCAAGGCTCTCAGGTTCTCTCTGCGAAAAAGACGTGCCTGCTGGCTGTGTTGTTGTTGGCAGAAGCTTAGGATCATGTCGTTGAGCGGAGGCGTGTCCTGCCCCTGCCTGTGAAGTGATGGTGATGGTTGGGATGCTGCTGCGCCTTGCAAGGCATTGTTTTGCTTTGCTGTGCTTTGCAGCTAATAGCCAGTGTCAGAGTTTCCCGACAAAGCAGGATGGCAGTGCCTTTCCGTGAAGGGTGACCTCAACTTGCTTTAGGTTCAAGGCTTCGTAGTGGCTCCTTGCGGTGAGCACAGCCGCTTGTGCCCTGTCTGCAAGCCAGCGGTTACTCGTTGCGAGCGTTGTCAGTGTCGATCCTGGGATAGGACATTACGACCTGTACTCAGGTTAAACTTCATGCTGCCCAGACTCTCATATCCCAATAGTATGTTATCGTATAAAATAGACTTTCAGATTGGAGAAGGCGATAAGCTGGTTAAACCCGTTGCCCCCAAGCCAGGTTCAGGCAGGGAGAAGTTGCATAATATCTACGAGGGTTGTCAACAACTTCCAGCTGCCGAAAGGAACATGACTCTTGTAAGTCTTACCCTCATTACCAGTATAATATTCTATTTTATATTATAATCTCATATCATAGTATAATATACTATATTAGAATTTACTATATTATAGGAAAAGGCCTACAAGTGCGAGCATTCTATGCAAGCCAAGGCTACAGTCATGGTGCGGTCTCTCAGGCTACGGCTGGGCACTCTGGAGACGTCCAAGATGTAGTTGCTGTCCGCACATGAGCCATAGCCTAGACTCCTTGAAGAGGGTTACATAGGGGCTTATATAGGGGTTATGAAGGGGGATGCTAGGAGTTTAGACTATAGCCCCTATAATCCCCTATATACCCCTATATATAGCAGTTTCCATTTCATTTTCCATTTTCTTTTCCATTTGATTCTCCATGATTAAGGGGGATACCCCCTATAGCTCACATGGCAGAAAGAGCTCTCCAAGCCGGGAGGACGATCTGCTTGGGATTCCCTTGCAGTGGGTGGGGTGGGATACCCACGATACCTCTGCAGAGTGTTGCGGGGATCTGCACAACTTTGTCACTCTTGATCAGAGTGCTTGTTTGAGATGAAGTGGCTTAAAGCGTGCGCGCGCAGCAGAGCAGCTGCTCCAATTACTTCGGAGAACACCCTGTCCTAGTCACCTGTGCATGTTGTTGCGAGTGGATGAGCAAGCAAGGCCTTCTAGTTCCGCGAACTGTGGCAACCCAGCCGTACGGGCCTTGGCTCGGAGTACAAAATGCGTGCCTTTATCTTGCCAGGGAAGGCACCTAGTCACACGCAGCTCTGTATTTGGCTTTAGCGCATAGTAATCCCCTATAGAATCCCAGTTTCCATTTCATTTTCCATTTTCTTTTCCATTTGATTCTCCATTATTAAGGGGGATCCTAGCTGCAGCTTGGCAAGGTGCTGGCACTTGGACTTATGGTGGCTGGCCTGGCTTTCGCGGCAAGCTGCAAGGGCCTCAGAGAGCCTGAGAGCTGTTCCGCTGAACCTTGCGCCTTCTATACTGTGGGCCCTGGAAGATCATGAAAGCTGGGACTATCTTGCATTTCAACGGCACTGAAAGATACTGAGAGATTATTCGTGCGATTCTTCAACACCGTGTCCGGGTCCCAGATCCTGGACGCAGCAAGCTCTCATCACATGAAAGGATCAAATAAAAGACCTTAAACATCTTGGATGGGAGGAACGGTGGTCTTTCAATTCCTCATCCGATGCCTACCACCTTCAAGCCGCCGTGTTTGTGCAGAATTCGAAGTGACAAGCTCTTTGCGCGCACTTGCTCCTTGTGCTTCTTCATTGAGTCGTGACAGCCGGCGTCGCCGCTCTAAGGTGATCACAACGCTTTCGTTTCCGCGATCGTCCGCCCAATCAAGGCCAGGTACTTGTTGCTTCTCGATCGGACCCAGTCTTGAAGTGATCAGTGCAGCGTTGCATGGACAGAATGAAAAAATCTGGTGCAGTTGGAATGCACATGTTCATTTCCGCAGAAGGTGCAGAGTCCTTCCGCGACTGCAGCTCAGGCATGGCATCGTGATCCTAATGCGTGATGATGATGGTGATGATGATGATGCCGATGCTGGTGCTGGTGGTGAGGACGATGATGACGTCAAGCTAGTTTCTGGTCGGTTTCGCACATCTGGTTTGAACTATAATTTGAACGTGTACTTGTCTTGACACCGCCACACTCAGCCTTGACCTACCCTTTTTGACAGAATCAATCGGCCATCAGTTACTGTACACACTAGTAATAATAGTAGTAACAGTGATTATAGCAAATACTAGTCACAATAGTCATAATAGTACTACTAATAGTAATGATAGTGAAAACAGTAATAATGATGAATAATATTGGTAATAGTAATAACAGTAATAAGAGTAATAATCGTAATAATAGCAATAGTAGTAATGATAGTACTAATAGTACTAATAGTAATATTAGCAATAATAGTAGTACTAGTAATAATAGTTATAAGAAACCCAGACCAAAAGTTCCAAAACCCTAAAGCCCCTTGCTGCCTGCCACACAAAATCTTCAGGCACCCGTCTCTTCCCCGCGTCCTGCTGCTGTCTCAGCCTGGCCAGCTGCGATGCTCGCCGGGGCCTTGTTGGGGGGGGAGTATGGCTACTATTATTGTTATTATTGCTTAATGTAAGATTATTAGTATTATGAGTATTGCTATTATTACTACTGTTAATATGATATTTTTATTGGTGTGCTACTAATTGTTACTATTATGGAGGAATGGAAAAGAAAATGGAAACTACTATAATGGGTTATAGGGACTACCCTGAACATTTTGTATGGCTAATAGTATCATACCGTTACTATTACAATTACTATTATGAGTAATACTACCATTATTAGTAACATGAATAATATTGGTACTAGTATTACCAGTATTCTTAGTATTATTCATGATATGAGTAATCTTATTATTATTCGTATTATCACTATTATTTGGTATTATTTGTCATTATTTCTGTTCGTAATATTATTACTAGTCTGATGAGTTTTGCTGGTCCCTCATCCGAGCTCTGAGGCTACGGTGGCCGTTGCCAGCGCAGCTCTGCGTTCGACGCCGCGCCGTGTGCCACGCGCACAGGCACCGGGCAGACGAGTTGCCTCGAGCCGTAGCAAGTCACCGTTTCGTGGGCCCATGGTTTCGAAAAACCGAGAATTTGTTGCGGGCTTTGGTAGCATACGAAGCTGTCATTCAACACAGGTTGATCAGCCGATTTGCGTCGAGGTGCTGATTCTCACGCATGTGCAGGTGATGATGGCTCGCTGTCTGCCTGTTGTCTCTGTGGCGCCGGAGGCACCAGAACGTTGCAAGACAATTTCTGCCTAGAGGTTTTACGGTTTGAAGGGCTGTGTTTGCTTGTGCTTCGCCTGTGTGTTGCAGTGTTGCACGGCCTTGAGGTAGTGTGGATGCGGCAGACACTTGGACGTTTGTTGGAAGCAGGTCTCCACTCAATTGCCCACCATGACGCCGCCAACGCCAGCGCAGAACGAGGAAGAGTTCAACACCTGGAATGACAGCACTCAAAGCCATCAAGTATCATCAAGTCACGGCAGCTGGAAGGACCTCATCTCCTTCGATATGGTGACAGAGGACAAGGGTGCTGCTGAGCAGGCCGCGAACAATTTTTCTGTGCAGCAATGGTGCACTTCAGAAGACGCCTGCAAACCTGAACAATATTTTTGTTTTTTGTTTTTGTCCTGTCTCTGCTCCAGTGAGCCAGGTCAACATGCCGCAAAACACCGGTCACGCTCAAAGTCTGAAGCCAAGTTCGAAAGAGTGTTGGTGTACGAGGGCTGCATGGGGTTTGCCTCAAAGCTTCGTTTTCCGGGTGCGGCCTTGCAACATGATGGCTTCGCACTGGCTTCCCAGGTGCGCGCCCGAAGCAGCAACGGTCCCGCAACTCACGCAAGGCATTGCCTGTAGCTGCCTCTCATTGCTTTCAACGCGCCGAGTGTACCTTAATCGCGGGAAATGGCAGTGGTACTCTGGCACTGCAATTGCCACACCCCAAAAAAGAAAGCAAACTGGCACTGCCTGGGCACCTTGGACATTGATGAGATCTCGTGACGCTGCCAGATAGTGTCGGCATATACACCTTCACGTCGCGCATTGGCAACGGAACTGGCTTGTTGCTGGGGCAGGCTAATGCCCGCCGCGAACGTCGCCGTGCTAGGGGCCCAGCTGGTGCAAAGTAAGTTTGTGCCTCGAACTTCTTAAGGCCATTAAGGTGTGAGCTCCTTGATCCTGCCATCCAAGATCGGCAGCCGCCTGGTGCAGCGAGACTACTTGGAGTCCAACACGAGTGTGCGATCCTTCGAGCCGAGCAAGGCTGTCGAAAGCCAGCCAAGTCTTCCAGTTGTGGAGGTTGCCATTTTGCTGGACAGGTGCCTCTGGTCTTGCAGGAGGCCATGCAGCACGGACCCCGTCCGCGCACCGCCTCCGGGCGTGAGCCATTCCCTGAGACATCCTGAGACGCTTTTGCCAAGTCATAGAAGAACAGTAAAAGCACGCGGCCCGCGTCTGGACGTGAGCCGGGAGGCATTGCGGGAAGCCTTAACAGATGTTTGAAGGAAGAGGCCTCTTTAGCCAAGAGGCAGCAAACCTCACAGAAGTAGTGAAGGTGAGATCGAGTTGTTCGCACAGATCGCATTGCCTTGCCAGCGTGTTCGAAGTCTCCATAGACGAAGCCTACAACCAATTTTGACCTGACAGCTCGAGCTCATTCCTATGGGGGTGCATTGAACCTGTTTCCCCCCCCGCATTTGATGATTTTCACCAGGGTTCGAGTTGTCGCTGTGGTTTAAGCGCCTGAATAATTAGACTCTAGACTGTTGACCTGGCTTAAGTGAAATTGCATCTCAAAGAGCCCAATTTGAGGTCCAAGCCCTTGGTCGAGGCGCATGATGCTTGAGGATGTATGATTGTCCCTCCAAGCTGAAAGAAGCTGTTGATGGATACTTTTGATGCTATTGCCAGAGAGGTGATCGCCAACGTGCTGACTGTCAGTCCGTGCGTTGTCTTGCAATGTATTGAACAGCTGGAAAAAAACCAACCATTTCTCTTCTTACTGCCAGTAGTTTTGCTGACGACAGCGATGTTAACGTGTTTGCGTGAGAAGCTTGGCCTTTGGGCTGTATTGCAGGCTCCCGGCCTATCTGCATCCCTAGACATTGGCCACAGCCCAAATTTGTGGTGGTGCATGCTACTGCTTTGGAAGATAGGGGAATCCTTGCATCGCCTTCGCGTGTGAGCTAATGCTGCCTACGTCCGACACTGGTGGTACAACTGGTCAAGCCTCTCCTGACCTTCTGAGGATTAAAATCATTCAATGTGGAACGTGCCAGCCTCATAGGTTTGTGGCTCATGGAGTAACTCAGTGCACATGAGTTCTGAAGAGCGCGACTCAGCCTCAGACATATTTGCCTGTCCTCGCCACAAGGCACACAAAAGCCTTAAAATCCGTGAAAACATCTTGTCATGGGTCTCGGACTCAGTCTTCTCGTTGAAGCCTGTGAAGCATCCCTCTCCTGGTGCATCTACAGACCACCCCTTGCCCAAGTTTCTTAGCATGGAGGCGTTTGCCCGTCGATGAAGCCACGGAGGTGCCGAAGCACTCGTAAAACAGCGGCAATTTGACCACATTGCAGGGGGGGTCGCAACCGCTCCCATTTGTATGCACAAGACCTGTTTGGCCAGGGCAGACTACGCTGCGCAGCAAGGCCCTGATGCCCAGCTGCTGTTGCTGGCATGCCAACTTCAGTCCTTCAGGACGTGCAGCCAACCGTTTTGCCCGCGCACAATGAAGAAGTGCAGCTAAGGCAGAAGACTGTTCCCTCGTCAGCCGTGGCCCTGGATAGATGGGAGAGACAGGGAACAGATTGTTTGAGATCTAGGTTCTTGGTCCGGGCTGTGACAACGGTCTATCTGTGCCTCAAGCAAAAGATTTCATGAGACATTCAGGCTGCAGTCAAGCACTTACGCCGCAACTGAAGCAGCTTATTTCGCTCATCAAGCAATCACGTTCGAGGAACTGAGCAGCAGGTAATTGTGTGGAACATGGAACAAACTAGACGAAGCTGCTGCAAATGGAGAGGTGGCCATTCTGCGAGAAAGTTTGCAGGCAGCGTACCGAACAATCAGCTTTGCGTAATTTAGCTTGCCATGGTCCAACAGTGACCTGAGCGGATGTAAAGGCGGGTCCTGGAACGGTGCTGCAATTTTGCTGCCACAGCTGTAGCTGGTGTGGATGCTTTCGGCCCTGAGTCGCTTGAACTCGACACGTTGCAGCAGGAAGCTCTCAATGGCTTGGTGCTCTGACTGCACCCGAGAGGCGCAAGAAGGCCTAGTGCCTGACTGTTGCGAGTTTTCGTCGAAGGAGCTCCCTGTTGTCTGGTACTGACCGTTAGCCACTTGCTCCTTTGCCCCTTTGCAGATGCTGCCTCAACTTTTTCCGCCGCGGTCACGGCTTGTGGCTCGTTGGTTTCCAGTCGGGGCCTTGTGTGACAGAGGATTGAGGACTCTTCCATGTCTTTACGCTTGCTCGGTCAAAGAGATACAAGCTGAGCCAGCTGAGTCTCACCAGGTCCAAGCAGGCCGGTTCAAGCTGAGGCAATACAATTGCTGCTGTTCCAAAGGAGTCTTGGCTTACTTTTGAAGTTGGGTCCAAGCTGTGCAAATCAAGGGACATTGTCGTGGGCTCTGCCAAGGCCTTCTTGTGAATGCAGGTAGTCTAGACAAGTTGCTTAGCAACCTCCCACCTACTTCTTATCCGTACGCAAAGGCTGGTGGCTCGACAGCGGCTCCCCTACGGAGTTTGCCCGTTGAGGAGGACAGAAGGGCTCACGGAAAAGCAAGCACACGGAAGGGGGGTTGCAGCGAGCATGGTTCCACACGCGGTTTTCTGGCGTCAAGGTTATGTTGAACTCAACCCTTGCAGGCGCAGTCAAGATCATCACCGTCGCCCGATGCCCAGGCCTGCCGATTTAGCTACACTTACCTACACTTCAGCTACTCGGGCTGCAGTAACTTCCTCCAGGGGGGAGCCCCTGTGTAGCCCAGATCTGCTGTTTGTTCATAACAAGCCAGAGCTGCTGAACGCCAGCGGCACCTCGCGAAGCAGATTATGTACCTTGCCCGTTTGCCTGCATTGCTGTTGGCCAACATTTGGGTACGGTTATTACTATTATTAGTTTTATTACTATCATTGCTATTATTACCATTACTATTACTATTATTACTATTGTTATTGTTATTATGACTATTATTATTTGACGTTCAGACACAAATCAGCCTTGCAGGCGATGGGCAAGTCCTCGACGCGCATAGAGGCAACCCATGAGCTCCTGGCTGTTAGCCGCAACCAGGCCTGCTGCACCTTCTTCTGACGTAGCTCTGGCAAAATTTTGGCTCTTGTTGTGCATTCTGGTGCTGAGAAAAGAGCCGATGCCTTGCAGGGTAGCGGAGTGATGTCCACTGATGATTTCCGCGAGATGGCCGCTTGGAGCACAGGGAGCATGCAATTGGGACTTGCGCTTCAGATTCATAAGCTCTTGGTTGAGACAGACTCTTCGTTGCCTAGTGCCAGCTGATTGACTGTACAACGATGTGGCCGATGCATGATGATGCATGTGGGTGGTGCCTTTAGACACCCTGCAGATCCGGACGGCGACCATGAAGGAGAGCGAACGTCAGCCCTCAGGACGTTTGTCCGGAGGCTGCTTGGAGCAAAAGCAGAGAAGATGACTAGAAGAAAAAGACCAGCTTTGGGACACCTGCATGTCAAACTCTGTCTGCAAAGAACAGCATTTATTCACATCGCAGGCAGTCATGGTCGAAGACGAAGCTTGTCGTCGCTCTTTTTCAAGGACTGCTCGCAGCCATAGGAAGGCATCAGCAAGCTCAGTGTAGCACGCATTGTCCCTCCAAGAGTTGGCGCGATGTTTCGGTGTACAGCTATTGGGAAGAATGGTGTGGCTTGGAGGAAGCGACAGCTGCACGAATTGATGCTGCTTGTTGGATACTGGGCCAAAATATCAAAAGTCCAAAGCTTCTTCAGTGATCTGTGGGGGGTGTGCTCCGTTGAAAGCAGCAGCAGATGCTGGTTCTATCAGTTGTGCTCCGCTTGCGGTCAGCAAATCGGATATCGAATGTCAGTGCACAATTGAGGCGAGGCTTTCTGTGGCTAGGCTGAAATTGGCAAATCCGGCAGAGAAGCGAGGTATGCACACATGTGTATCGGGTTTTCTTGAGCTTAGTTTGCCAGACGCTGGGAATGCGAAGGCTGCATGAATCTTGCGACGTCCTGCGCAGCAGAAGTCCAGATGAGGCTTCTCTTAAGCGTGCTGGCAGTCTGCTCCCTGAGCTTCATCATTGCCTTCGTGGTGATCGGGAACCAGGTGGGGAAGTTGCAAAGCCAATCGAGCAACATTACGTGGACCGCATGTGTGACAGTTTGTCATCACACCGGATTCTATGGAGGGACCCAGAATTCCGACTGCCCCATGTGAGCTATGGTCTAAACTCCTTAAATGGGGTTATATAGGATTATATAGGGGACTACTATAGGCGTTATGGGGGATGCTAGGAGTTTAGACCAAAGGTCATGTGTACTCCAGGGGCTTTGAGAGCAATGTAGGTGGGCGATGAGCTGACAGTTGTGGAGCCCTGGCAGTGGGCCTCGTCCTCAGCCATCAGTTGGGCAAGTATGGCCACTGAAGCCAAGACCCCAATCAGGCATTCCGCTTACGTTTTTTGCTACAGTGACTAGCATCATTAGGATGTTTGAGGGCACCTTGGGGTGATGCCTGCTCTTAACATTCAGATCCTGCTCCTAGTTGATGCGTGAGCAGGCAGGTAGGCAGGCACGTTAAGTTGCCTAGCTGACAAGCCAGGGCAATGTAAATTGACGGGCCATGGCACAGGGTTCCGTGGCAACCGAAGCGCTTTCGACCACTGATGACCAAGTGCTGATGAAACCCAGTCAAGTGCCGTATCATGGTAAAGACCGCTCTGCAATACGGAAGGTTGGAGCTCCCGACAATTTGGTGGATGCATTGCGTGGGCAATGTGTGGCATTGAAGAAGCAGGCCGGAATCCCGAGTGGCAGCTTTCTAGGATAATGTAGCCTCCCCTTAGTAGGGATTATCACAGGGATCCTCATATCAAGGCCCTTGAAAGGAGGGGGTTTATTAATCATGGGTCTGCATTCGGTGCCTTGGACTGGGTGACTGGCTGTAGCCTGAGGCCTCACCCCTGATTGAGCTGATTGAGCAGTACAACCGCCAGAATCTGGGTTGCTGTTAAGGAACTTAAATTAAGTTACCATAGTGGGTATATAATGGAGAATCAAATGGAAAATAAAATGGAAAATGAAATGGAAACTGGGGGAATATAGGAGTTTAATGAACTTGAATTAGGTTACCATAATGGGTATATATAGTAAATAATAGGCTTTCCCCAATATAGTAACTTAATTTAAGTTCCTTAACAGCAACCCAGGAATGGCTTTCAGCAGATCACCTTCAAGACTCGCGGCCCTCAGAAGCAAGCTGCTGGTTTGAACCTTGTGAATTTCTTACAAATTGCAGTGCAGTGGCCAGGAAGGGCAGTGAAGTCAGGCCTACCATCTTGAGAAAGGTATGCAAGAGCTCCTTTGAAGGGAACATATTCGATGTGGAACTGAGGCGAAAGCTATCTTTCTGCCAAGCGCCTCGCATTCACCGCGCGTGGCACTTCGGCGAAGACTCTCCTACTAGATCAGAGTTACTCTAAACACTCTGCCAAAAAAGATGGCTTGAATGCGGCATGCGTGCGGTATCCTGCTTAATTATGTTGCAGCTCCTGCTTCAAAGTCCTTCGTATACGGCTGGTTGCCCCTATCTTCGGCCTTCCTTGAAGTGTTCCGCAGTGAGCAGAGAGGTGATCGTTCATGGACGCCGCTCGCACGGCCTCGCCAGTGCCGTGCCTTGGCCTTCAACAAGACATTGGTATCCTTCTACGTGGCTGCGTGGCTGCCGATGTCTCCAGTGCCAGGCGCAGGCTGCCGGCTATTTCCTCCGCCTGACGGGCATTGGCGCGTTGATTGTGAAAGCCTGAGATGCCGACATTTGCGGTCTAGGCTTCTGCGTCAACGTTTGGATAGCTTGTCTGCTAGCCTTCTTGTTTGTTTGCTTGCTTGCATTGCTGTCGCGAAAGTCTGTCTGCTCGTCTGATTGCAAACCAATTCAGGTTGCCATTGTTTTTCGGTGAGGGGAGCCACGCTAACTTTCTATTCAGTTTCATCCGGAAAATGTATTGTTTGCCTTGTCCGACGCTTCTTGGAAGCCTTACTTTGAAAAAGAAGGCCGAGTGCTTGTGGTAGTAGTCAGAGCAGCATTGATCGTTTGTGGGGAAGTCTGAGCAATGGTAGTGCATTACAACTCAGGGCAGCAGCAATGAGGTATGGGGTCTTCTTAGGTGACTCGCAATGTAGTCGTCAGCAGGGAATGTTCGAATCCCCGTTCGCCCACCTATTCCATATCAGCAGAAAGTTGGTGGTCACCCTAGCCAAGCCTCTGCGACTGAGATCGAAGATCTCGCGACCATGCGCCTTGGCATAGGAGTGATCTGAGCTTTTGCATGAAGGCTGAATACAATCTTAGTACGTGTGAAGAATGTCACTGTCTTCGCAGCATGCTGCGTAGCTAAGCTTCTTCAGACAACAGGCGACAGAACCGGAGTTCATGGTTGCTGGATGATGACACTGTCCTGGGTGCTTGGGACTATGCGGTGGAGGACCCAGATGGACTCCTTGGAGGCCTTGGGGGCCGGAGCTCAGCATCTTCCAGCATCTTCCAGCTCTTTCTCTCGCGCTTGCCTCAGTGGCCAGGTCCGATGCCTGCTAGCCAGGTAGGCCTTATGGGTGCAAACCTGAGACAAGTTGCACTTTCAAAGTCTTTGGTGCTGTTGCACTAAGAGAATGCGTCATTTTCCAGCCGTGCCTGGACATCCAGGTTTCGACTTTGGCGGCTTTGCTGCGCAACGAGCCTTCGTTCGGGAGCCACGAATCACTTCACTTCTGTTGGATGGAGTCGTGCACGACTTCGAGGCAGGGATGTTCTGGCTTGGAGGATGCAACTCAAGCTTGACTGGTTTTCTCGGAACCGCCCGCCCTGGTACTTTCAAGTTCGTTAGTCCCAAACATTCAGATTGCCTCAGTTCGCTCGGACCTGGTGCAGAAACACATATAGTATTCCCAACATATGCAACACAATTTTTTGTCCATTTGAAGCACTTGTTGTCGTGAAAGCCTGCTCCGCGCGTTTGGTGCGAGGCCTTGATGGAAGCCCACGTGGTCCGTGTCCTGGGCAGCTGGAACACGGCGCTGCTCACAAACCTCTTGACTCAGCAGGCTCGATAATGTACACGCTGTACTTGGAGGTTCATGGGACTTAGTAACTACTTATAACTGGGCTTATAACCCTACTTATAACCCCCATAAATGACCTTATAGGGGTTACCCCAATTATAAGTAGGGTTATAACCCCAGTTATAGATAGTTACTAAGTCCCATGAATCTCCAAGTAGTACCACGGTGCCGGCAGTGTGCCAGCAGCTACTGTAGCAGTGTAGCTGGTGAAGAGCCTGATCAGAAGCCGCAATGTCGATACAGGCCAAGAGCCGCTGCGAGTTCAACCTTCAGATGAGGCTCGGCGAGGCGCGAAATCGCAAACACATGCTGTAAGTCAGCTGTGGATAAGAACATGTTTTTGTGGACCAGGGCAGTTTGGTTTGTGAGTCTAGGGTTATGGCTTTACTTCATTTAGCAGCAGCCTTTTGGATCTCTCGGCTCTTTCTGACTTCTTGTCTGTGAAAGTGCCATTTAGCTGTATCTGCTTCATGTCATAGAGACCCGCGCTCATGGTCCGCGACATTCGCAAACCTCGCACATTTGCTTTTCTGCCTTACAGCCCGTTCCTGCCTGGCCCGAAGCCGGAAATGATGAAGCCAGAAAACCCGATCTTTGACACTTCAATTTTGTGTAAACTTTTTACTGCAAGTTGCAGTTTCAATCGATGCTTGTATTTTTGTCCTTGCCAATAATTTGCAAAATCCCCAATCCATCCAATTGTCCTTGCCAATAATTTGCAAAATCCCCAATCCATCCAATTCTTCCATGGGCGTTCTGGTGAGGCCAGCTTGAGGGAAGGCTTTGCTCAGCGTGAGTCGGCCAACAGCACCCGCATCGGCATCATTCGCTCTGTGGACGTCTTGCGATTGCAAAGTAGAGTGTCATCAACGTGATGAGGCCAAGCAAAAACAGAACAGCTTGTTCACTGTTCGCCAAGGATGCTGTGGTACCTGGGGCCTCCTGACTTACTTCTGCTTCGTGATGCTTGTTGCGCTGAGCTTTGTACGCTAAGGTCGAGCAGTATAATCTGCTAGTCTCTTCAGTGTCTCTTAGCAGTGGGATTCTGGCTGTGAGGCTGGGAGCACGGCTTTCCTTTTTTGTTATCGAAGTTCTTGCGTCTGCAGAGTTGGAGTTGATTCTACTCGTGCTTCAAATGTGCATCGCCTGCCAACCTCCTGCCCCAGTTGGTCTTCGAACTACACCGGGCCAAGCGAAGACGCCTGCACAGAGCAGAGGGCACTGCACCTGTCGTCTCCAACAGAGTACCAGCTGCAGCTCAGCCAAATCCAGAGAGTTTCTCGAGTAGCTACAGATGGCGGCTTTTCCAGTAACTGCTTCTCCGAGCTCACATGAAGTGCCAATGGTTAAGGAACTGTGCAGGGATGTATCGGGTGTGAGTGGCCGTCCCCTGCATGCGCTGATGCAGAGTGTTGCCTTGCCGACCTTCCAAGGCGTCTCTGCGAATTCTTTGTGGATGCTTTGCAGCTCGGGTCCAGCTGCAGGCGTGGGTTACATGTGTGCTATTGCAAGGCCAAGCTCATCTAATTGCAGCTACACCCGCTGTAGAATGATCACGTCAGCGGGGTGTGATACGGTCGGCAGGGTCACTAGTGGCTGGACAGGCAGTGTAATGATTTTCGGGCTCACGCATCAGAGGGCAGGGATGGGTGGCCACCAGGCCCTAATCTATGCAGGTGAGCCTGCGGAGGAGAAAGTCGAGCATTCGCGTTAATCCTGAACTGCTTCGTGTTGCACGAGCAGGAATCTCCAATGCACCGTATTTCGCTTCCCCACTGCGGGTGAACTAGAAGCTGATTGAAGTACTGTGCGCTGGAGATTCAGATAATGAAGTCTGAGCACTCGCTGTAGCTCTGGATAAATGTGGGTAACATTCTTGTATATAGTCAGTAAAAGGGTCCTGTGGCCAGTGGCGATTTCTGTATATCTTTATGATCCCAAGGGAAACGCATCTGCAGGAACCCACACATGTAGATATTCCAGAGATAGATGCAGCCCTTGAAATTGGCACGTGACGGCTGCCGAAGACTGAGCTTCACGCAGTTCAAGCAAGATATCTAGAGATGAGGATCCAGCTTCATGATGTTTGCATCATGCTTCAGTCTTTGGTACGTTGGCATGGTGCCCGTTCCAGTCATGGTCTTCTCATCCAAGTTCTCAGAAGTGCTCCCAAAGACTTGTGGTTTTGTGGTGCCTGTCCATGATCTGGTCATTTGGCAAGAGTATCCAAAAGGGTAGCTGTTGCCGCGACATCTGCAGCGGTCTGTGAAACAGCAGACCTCGTGCGGAAAACTGGCCGAGCTCAGTTTTAGGTGCTGGGAGGCATGGCAGTTACTGGTTGCGCGAAGTTTGACCGGGATGGCATAGGAAATAGGCAGGATCCGAGGCCAGGCTTGAACCACAAGCGTGCACATCACTTGAATAAGCTGGGGACCAACTTTCAGGTTGACAGGCGGTAGCCTCTACGTCCTTTGCGAAGGCGGGATCGCATCGCTGTTTTAGATCTGAGACAGCGCGACGTTCTTGTGCAAAGAAGAGCATGAGCGAAGAAGCAAGGGAGCCTACCTTTAGGCCCCCTGCAGGGCATTGGCATGTGTAACAGCATGATAGCTTGAGGTATCCTTTGAATCCGCATATGTCAGGGTGCCCAGCACACTTGCTGAATGTGACAGGAAGTTTGAGGATTGCCCAGATGCTTGGAAACTGGCGGCAAATCCTACAGCTCTGCCCTGTGCTCAGACCACGCCTACGCAGCTGCAGCATCTTGCTTTTGCGCTCTGCCAGTCTGATGCCAGCATCCCGCTCGTGGTTCTGCATTCCTACACCTTGACCTAGCTCAGTAGCAGAAAAGCGTACACGCAGCTTCGTCGGAAGCCACTGGTCTAACATGCTTTGGGCGGATGGGTCAGAGGCGAGTGTAGGGTACTGTTTTCTCTTGCTCAGCAGCTGAGTTTCAGACTTGAATATGATTGAGCTTCAAGTTGAGATGAGTGAGGTCTTGCTGTGCGGATGATAGCCTGCGTGAGATCATGGACTGGCTTGACTGGGTCCTTCCGTGATACCCCCAATTTTCGCGGACCCTTCCCTTTTTGTGGAAGGGACGCTGGCCGCAATTCAGAAACACATTGGCAGTGACATCTAAACCTGTCATGCTACCCCACTTTGGGCTTCTGGCGGCTGAAGAACCCGGGAAATCCTGACATATCAGTATGAATCAATTCCGAAGAGCAAGGCTGCGGCACGAAAAGTTTAAGTCCTGTGGTGTCAACTTCAGCTCTAAGAGACTTCGCGTCGTGCATAATATACTATAGTAGTTTCCATTTTATTTTCCATTATCCCCAATATTGCCCCAATATAACCCCAATATAATCCCTAATATGTACCCTATTATACTATAGAAGTTTCCATTTTCTTTTCCATTATCCCTATATAACCACTATATAACCCTCATATAATCCCTAATAAAACCCTAAACCCTAATCCCTAATGAAAAGGCAATGCGCCAC